AACTAAGGAAAATAAAATTTGACTAATACACCCGTAGTAGATTAATGACATCTCAAATGATATCTCCTTGTTTCCTCACTGTTGTATTATTCCCACAAGGCAAAAGTTAGTCTGCCTAATCTTTAAGCAATAGAACTTCCTTAGGCCTCAAAATTTCGACTTGAGGATTGACCGACTGCACCGATGAAGAGTTCTCTAGAACCAAGGTTGGACATCTGCCCCCGATGCTGTCACCTTCAAAGCTGTAGTCGCCTCTCTTGCGTGCTGCAGCCATCGGTCATCTACTTTCAGCGACATTTTTTTCGTAAATCAACAAGCATCTCATCTCTCCCCATCACTCAAAAACACTTTCGATGGGGACCGCCAGAAGGAATTTTTCCAAATTGAAGGAACCAAAAGACTACAAAGTAGAATGAAGACAAAAAGAAGAAGAAAAATAATAATAAATGGTGCTTTTTGCCAAAGAACAGAAATCTCCATTCTCTTATAAGTATCACATTAAAGTCTCTCTGATCACGCCCGTGCCGCATTAAATGAACGGACGAGACATTATCAGGAAAAGACGACCCTTCTCACACTAAACGGTTCGACATCCCTCACGTGACAAATCCCCATTAGACGGAAGCACTGTTCTACAAGATACATCACAACATCAAGGAAAAACCCACATAATTATCATTTTTGGAATTTTAAGAGATGCAACCTTTTCCCAAATAAAATAATCCAGAATTGACCTTTCTAAAAAACTCACTCACAACTGCCACTATGAGTTCATATGAGAGTTTTTATCGCCCGAATAAAGGAATCCAGAAGTAGCTTCCTACAACTAGCCGAAGTACTCGTCTGACCCTAAGAACTTGAGGGCCTTATGTTGATACTCAAAATTTGTCGACTAGAATCAAGGCCAGTAAGACAACTATCATGCAATCTGCACAAACGACATCCCCGAATTTAAAGATATCAAGAAGCACCTCAGCCAAAGCGAAAGACGCAGACCTCGAGGCCTCTCTTGTTATGTCGACCTCGTTCTGAGATATGAGGTAACCACGCCGACATATGCCAGAAGCAAGGCCCCTCCTCCTTGCGCACAACTGATCTCAACCTTGAGCTAATGTAAAAAGAGTTACCACCCAAAACTGTTCCCACCACCCAAAAGGATAAGCCAATTGCTCAAGTTGGACAAGTTGTCTGCAACTTGCCGAGACATGTGTGACCATGCATGCCGTTAGCTTCCGAGATTGTGCCACACATCCAAGGTATAATATATATTTAAAGACATCCCCTTCTATAAACAGAGGGGCTTGGAGGATCCAAAGGACAAACAACTACAAGCAATTCTCATTACAACAACCAATACTACACTAAAATATTAATTCCTTCATTGTTAAGCTCTCATATTCTCCAAACATCCCTTGCTAGTTTTCGATCTTTCTCTGCCTTTGAAAGGCTCATGTACAAAAAGAGGCCCGAGAGTGGCCCAAACTATGAATAAACTTGCCGGTGCAACCATACTATTTTTCATCGTTCATATGGAGTATATTTTATTATTTTTTGTTAGGTTTCATAATTTTACGGCTTAAATCCATCATAAACAACTTAATCTACATCTAATTAACACATCATCACTCCGGTGGTTTTGTTGATGCAAACAAACGTCACCAATAATAAGAAAAAATATTTCAACTTTTATAATATAATGCAATAAATATTGTTTTGTCGGAATTGGGCATTGTACATAACTACTTTCATTCAATATATATGTTGTAGAATAAATGAAGAGTCTTTTCAAATTATGTCTTTTAAATATTTTTTGAAACAAAGTGTAAAAAAATATTTTTATTATATATTAACTGAAATATTTTTTGTATTTGTACAAATAATGTATGCCAGTTAAAAAATAATATAAGTAGTAAATATGTCGACACAAATTTTAGTTTTGACTTCAACCTAAGCATTATTTTTCCGATATAATTATAAGTAGGACGGTGAAATTCAATTCAAGTACTCGAGTAGGGTTGAATGTTCCGATATATACCGTCTTGGCTTCAAATACCTAATCCGCCAATATAATTATATTTCCTATATTTTCTTCTATTCTATACTTTAGCCATATAAATCGAATCATTTATTTATATGAAATAAACAAAAAATCCGTCGACAAAAATAAAAAAAAAAAAAAAGGTATGGACGAATATCAAACGCGCGGATTCTGAAAATCCGCGTTTGACCAGTCTTCAGAGGAACACGGATTTTGAAAATCCGTGTTTGACTAACTTTGACTTAAACACGGATTTTCACAATCCGTGTTTCCTTAATTACATGTTTATTGTTAATTAAGTAAGATTAAAATGGATTTCGAAATTAAACACGGATTTTGAAAATCCGTGTATATATAATTTATTTATTTATTTTTTTTTTTTAATTAACACGGATTTTGAAAATCCGTGTATATATAATTTATTTTTTTTTTTTTTTTT